AGCAAGCAAAAATATAAGATCACGTCGACGCTTACGCTTTTGCAAATAATCCCAGCGAAAAAGAGCCTCACATCGATGATCCGTGTCATGGTGTAGCCCGAGCCTTTGCAGCGGGCTTCGACGAAAAAAAGTAGGGGCACATCAACACACGACATTTCTTGCACGTGCACTTGAATAATGATCGGACATTAAGAACGAAAAAAACTACGAACAGCTCATTTATCATATAGGCGATCTGCTACTTTGAACTAGAATTATTAGATCTACAACTGGCTGCGAACAGGGAGAGCAGTGGAAGATTCCTGCTGGTGCTAGTACTTGCAATCACGAGATGAAAGTGCTGCCAAGAAGCGCGAGAAATGCAGAACTTATCTTCATTGTGCTCCGACACACCCTTCTACTTCCCGTTGAAGTCGAGCTTGGACCGCCACTGTGACTTGCGCACGTGCTTGCGTCTTACACTTCCAGTAGTTTCTCTTTCTAGTTTTTTCACCAACACCACGCACATGCACACGTTGGAATTCGAAATCGAAACATCACCTGGATGCACTCTAGAAATTGTACAACGCTTTCGTTAATTCGAGTCGCAGACTTGGAGGAACTAAGTTCTCTTCCGCTGCTAGGATATGCAGTGCAAAAGTATCGTACTCGTATAAATGCATATACAAATTTCCTCAGCATGAGAAATAAAATTTGTAATGCTGATCTACCTCAAGAAAAAGATTTGTAATTCATGCTTGCAATACGAATACGATACTTTTGCACAGGATATAGGAACTCGTTGAACCACTGCAGTTTGTAGGCCAGATGCGCCGTGGCTTCGCGTCCGCTGACCAGGAGATCCGAAACTTCAATGTATAGTTGTATACAATGCAAAAGTATCGTACTCGTCATGCATTACAAATTTTCATCGTAAGGCAGATCCGCATTACAAATTCAATTTGTAATGCAAACCCAATTTGTAATGGAATTCATACTAGTACGATGCTTTTGCACAGGATACAAGGTCCTGGTTGACAAAAGCCGTTGCAATCAGCTCCATCCGGTGCTTCGCCACGAAGTCCGATCGTATTGCAGTCATGCATTACAAATCCCTGCGTCAAGGAAAATCAGCATTACAAATTTTATTTCTCATGCTGAGGAAATTTGTAATGCATTTATACGAGTACGAGACTTTTGCAAAACATACGAGTCCCAGAACCGCGGTTTTTACAAAGGATATTCCTGCATGCTGATGATGTTTCTCATGCAGAGCCCCATGAGAGGCATTTTCTAGTCGTGCTTCGGAATTTGTCATGCTCCGTTCAGCATAGCAGGCTAGATCGCTGTAGCAAACGGTGGACTGCTCTCGCTGTTCCTGCAATACAGTTTTTTTATAGAATCCAGAGGCAGCATCACAGGTTCCATCTTTCCACACCCAGGCATATTTGGAACGCATACAGCACCCGGTCCCACTCCCGAACGGTTCGGATCAGGTCGGCGGTCGTGGAGATGGGGACTTTGTTGGTTGTTGTAGTAGCTTATGCAATACAAATTTCCCGTACATCTACAACATGCATCAAAACAAATTTTACCATCCGGTGTTTCGCCACGCAATCAGCTCCATCCGGTGCTTCGCCACGAAGTCCGAGGTGATGATGAGCTTCCTGATGCCAGTTCCGCATGACAAGTGCCCTCCCCGCGTAGCACAAACTGGGCGCCTCTTGCTGGTCATGCAATACAGATTTTTTTAGAGTCCAAAGTTAGCATCACAAGTTCCAACTTTCCAGACCCAGACTCAGACATTTTTACAATCCATATCCCTCGCGGCCCTCTCTGCTGTCTCTCTTCGTCCCGCAAAATCTTGCGGTAGTTGTGCGCCAACAGGGAGCGAAATTTGGGCTGCAGCAGGAGTAAGTTCTCCTGGCTCGTCGCGGCATTTCTACCGGATGAAGCTCGCTGCTGTTCTACTTCTACAGAATCTAGTACACCCCAACCGCGTCGCCCGGAACTCTGCATGGTACCATTGTCGCAGGAGCCGCCCCTGCTGTCAACATCTCCTGCACATGCTGCTCCACGACCTCCAGAGCATATTAAAAGACCACCCGGATTTGAGCGCTGCTGCTGGCGGTACATAGCCCAACAGGGTCCGTGGATTTTGGCCTTGCAGGTTGGGCTATCAAATGTAAAAATGTCTGGGTCTGGAAGATTCTGAGACTTGTCATGCAAGTTTGGCATGAGCCATGATATCTGTGATGCATGCCCTAGCATCAGAGATTTTTTGAGGGCTTCTGGATGCCTATTCCGCATGACAAATGCCCTCTTCCCGTAGCAAAAAGACACTCCCTTTGCTGCTTATGCAATACAGATTTTTTTGGAATCCAAATGCAGCATCACAAGTTGCAATCAGCTCCATCCGGTGTTTCGCCACGAAGTCAGAGGTTGGAACCGCAAAATGAAAATGGTGAAAGTAGAGGAAATCTACTTCTGATGGTGATGACACCGTCGTGGTCACCGCAGCAGCTTGAACTTGATGATTCGCAGCTGTTGCAGTTGTGGCGTTCAACATCGCGTTGCCCTTGATGTTACTACCACCTCCAGTTGTCGACGTGGTTCAGGTCCTTGGCAACCGCTTCTCTCGCGTATTGCCAGAGTTTTCGGAGATTGCGCTCGAGAGCATCTGCATTATCGTTATCGTCTTGTTGGATATTCTTTCCAAAGGGCTGTGAGAAATCGTGGTTGGTCTTCATGATCTCCAGCTTCCGCTGCTGAAAACACCGCACCAGACAGGACACCGCAAACGCGAGCGACGTCACCATCGGGGAAATGGCCGCCGGAGGCACAGGCCTCAAAGAATCAAGGGAAGGACCCATGTAGTCGTGGGCCTCCCTTTTGTGCGCGAGAAAATCTTTTTGGCGCTGCAGTGTATTTTCTTTCATCCGCACCCCTCTCACAAGCCGCCACAGCTTCATGGCCATCTGCTGCAAGTCTTCGCAAGAATTTTTAGTCCCGCTTGATGTTGTATTAGCTTGTTGTTGTTCACAATGCCGCGCCAGCGCTGGTAGTAGGTCCCGCGTTGCAATTTTGCAGTCCACGTCGAACGCTTTCTGGGCGTGTAGTGCTGCTCGACTGGTACTGTCCCTTCCAGAAGCAACCTCATCTGACGAAGTACAAGTCCATCCTCGCGTTGCCCTTGATGTTACTACCACCTCCAGTTGTTGATGTGAGCAGGCTTCGCCGAACCGGCCGGGAACCTCTTGAGGCAGTGCATTAGAGTAGAAGAAAAAAAATCCGCTTCCCCAGCCCTTTCGCCACATCCTTGTCCGGACACTCCGGCATCATGTTGCCCATGAAGGGCAAAATGTCCTTTTTCCCCTGCAAGACAGCGCGCCGAAGAGCAACGCGGCGACGCGCATTCCAGAGAACCCGCTGCCCGCGCCCTACCGCTGCTTGCCGTCTGCTGATGTATGTCATTTCCACCGCGACGAGCCGTCGGCGTCGTGCCTGCACGTCAACCCGCTCATGAAAAATTTTGAAATTTTGGCTGTGGTGGATTTTTTCGTTTGGTAAGAACCGAATCGCATTTACCTTCTGTGGAGCAGTGCGTAAACGATGGAAGGAGGATTGCCTACCATACGGCTAGTAACAAGTACATTGCTCTTTATGTTTAATTGTGTTACAACTGGTTTGTAAAAAAAAAACTGGAAGAAATGCTGTAGGAAAAAAAAAATGTTGTCGAAAAAGAACTATAACTTATCCTCCAGGAGAGCAAGGACATTTTCATAAGAAACAGCTCCAAAAGCAGAACTTCCATGAATGTAATACTACTTGATAAAAACAAGACTCTAGTAAAACTGGGAGGCAGTGACTCACTTCGGCATCCTACACAGTGGCGGCTTTGTAATAAATAGCACGATGCCGAACGAGGAGCATGGAGTCTCTGTTTTATTTGTAATCCGGGGATACCGACGGGTGATGAGTAGCGTTGCATTTAATGTACTGGAGGTTGTGGGTGTCCTAGTCGTTCTACGTATAGAATGTGAATGAATTCCGATCAAAGAAGCAGTCTTCGTCTGAACCATACTTCTCCTACCTCAAAAATCCGCTAGCGTTGGTGGCACAAAAAATAGACTGCCTCTACCTGCAGTCCTGCTCCGATTATCATGCGACTAGTAACAAGCACCAGCCTACCTTGTTTCTGTTGTGTTTGTGGTTTTCAAAAAAAATCGCATAAAATGCTGCAGAAAAAAAACGGCAATTGAAGGAAGTAGAAGGGAAAAGAAAAGCGTCGCCAGTTGCCTCGTCGACAGGCGCTTCGATCTGTTGTGAGTGAAGAGAGGCGGGATTTTCTCGTGCCTGGACATCGAATCAAACACCGCTTGAGTCCTGTGGGAAAATCTCCTCCCCCGACAATCACACTTATGAGGTCTGCAACATATGCATAGCGATCAGTTGCATAAGTGCAACTAATCAAAATCATGATGCTGCAGACATCTGATGACTTCAATCTGTTCAATCTTCTATATCACAGTGCTATTGTTCTTGCTGTTGCAGAAGCGGAGCTATAAATTAGTCACTAAGTAGATCAGATTACTAGAAACCCGGCAAAAACCCTGTGGACCAGTGCGTAAACGATGGAAGGAGGATATCCAAAAAAAAAATGTTAACATTAACATTTTCACTAGTCAACTTTTTCGCATATTTTCGTGTGATTTTTTTTTCATGCCAAGTAGTGCACTACTTTAGCTACTCCAAATAGAACCCACGGCCAACTAGCTAGATTTCTATGCTATTGCTGAGAGCTAGCTAGGCTAAGGGCTGCCGGCGCGGCGGACGTGAAGGAAAACAAGAGGCGCGGCGGACGTGAAGGAAACGACGTTGCCCTTGATGTTACTACCACCTCCAGTTGTCTCGACGGAAGAGTCAGTCGGCGTGGAACAACCCGACGTGCATGAATCGCCGCAGTCTGTCGTCGGTGTGGAGCCCCCTGTGGGGGAGAAGGTTGTAGAATGGTCGTCGGCACTATTATCCACTTTCCCTTCTGGCACGGATTGCAAAGCGAAAGCTTCGCCCGGAAGGCCGTTCGTCGCAGCCGCTGCTGGCCCGACAGCGCACGACGCATCTGCCCGCTCCAG